AAAAAGAAAAAAGAAAATCCTAAAAAAAAAAAATTGCAAATGGAACAAATTGCCAAGAAAATATATGTAAATATTGTACATATATGTAAATATTTGTAAATATATGCTCACTGAAAGTCTGTGGATCCAATTTCATAAAACGAACACTACATGAAACACAATGTCATATAGTTGGGAACTTAAATACTCCGCTTTCACCAACTGATAGGTCATCCAGATACAAAATCAACAAAGAAACCTCAAAGATAAATTGCACCATAAACCAAAGTTAAACAGATATTATCAAAACGTCCCACCCCAGAACCACAGAGTACACACACTTTTCAGTAGCTCATAGAGTGTTCTTCAAAAAAGGTCATATGTTAGGCCATAACCCAAGCCCTACTGAATACGTAAAACTAAAATTATTCTTTTTTATTTTATCAGAACTCAAGGAATAAAATCAGAAATCAATAGAACGGCAATAGCAATAGTAACTACAGAAACTATACACACACAAAGATTAAGCAATTGACTTTTTAAATTTTTTTAATTGACTTTTAATTGGTCAGTGGCTCAGTGAAGAAATGAAGGGAGTCAAAAATGTTTTGAATCGAATGACAATGGAAATCCAACATTCCAGAATGTGTAGGATACAATAAAGGCAGTTTTTCTGGGAGGGATGTTTGTAGTGATAAGTACACACATAAAGAAAAAAAAAATCAAAACCATGTCAAGTAAATAACCTAATAAGGTATCTCAAGCTCTTAGAAAAATATGAAAAAAAAATCAAAACTAAGCCCAGTAGAAGGAAATGAAAGACAAAGAAGATTAGAGAAGAAATTAATGAAATAGAAACTAAAAAACAGTATGCAGGCTTTAGGAAACAAAGATTAGCTTTAAAAAGGATGAACAATGGGCTGGGGAGATACCTCAGCAGCCTAAGCACTTGCCTGGCAAGTATAAGGTCCCAAGTTCTATCCCTGGTGCCACATGCTATGCTGGTCCCTGAACTGGCATGTCCCAGGTGCACCATGCCAGGCACCAAAAGTGGGTGTGGTGGCACACACCTGCAATCCCAGTGCTGGGGAGGCTGAGAGAAGAGAATCACTACAAGTCTGAGCTGTGTAGTGAGACTCTGTATATGTATATAAGAAAAGATAAACAAGATTGAAAAACTCTTAGCAAAACTTGCCAAAGGTGAAAAAAGACTCATATCAACATATGAACATGATTAGAGAAGGGCAGGGGAGATGGCTCAGTAGAATAAGCACTTCCCTGGCAAGTGCAAGGGTCTGAGTTCAATCCCTGGTTCCACAAACAAACAAACAAACAAACAAAAAACATGATTAGAGATGAAAAAGGAAGTATTATAGCAACCATCATTGAAATCCAGAAAGTCATGGGGGAATTATTTAAACACCTATATTTAATAAGTGGAGATTCTAGAAGAAATTGATTTCTTCTGAATCTAGAAGAAAATTATAGACACATGTGAGATACCTAAATGGAACCAACAAGACCCTAAAAAAATAAAAAATAAAATCTAGAGAACAGTAACAAGCAATGAGATGGAAGCAATAATAAAAAGTCTCCTAACAACGAAAAGTCCAGGACCCAATGAGTCCACTATTGAATTTTAAAGAACTAACATCGTATTCTTCAAACTAGCTCATGAAAATAGAAAGGGAAGAAATGCTTTCAAACTCATTCTATGAGTTCAGTATCACCGTGATACCAAAACCAGAGAAGGACACACAAGAAAAGAAAACTGTTGACCAATGTCCTTGATAAAAATAGGTGCGAAAATCCATAATATAACACTTGAAAACCTAATTCAAGAACACATTAAAAGCATCACACACTATGATCCAGTTGACTTCATTCCAGGGACACAGTAATGGTTCAACATGCACAAATAAATAAGGCAATGTAACACATACATGGAATCAAGAATAAAACCGTATGATCATCTAATTTGGTGCAGAAAAAGCCTCTGGTAAAATTTAACACTCATTTGTGATAAAATTCCTGAAGGAACTATGTATTCAAAGGTAATTCCCCACTATAATAAAGGGTTTATGTGACAAACCCATTCTTTTTTTTTTTTTTTTTGTATTTTGGGAAAGGATCTACAGGGTGTTCAGGGTCTCACTACCACCTCGGACAAGTAGTGATTCTCCTGTTTACAGCCTCCCAAGTGCTGGGATTACAGGCACACTCCACTATGCCCAGTCTCAATTGCTATCTCAGCACACCCCGGGAGTGGGGCCAGCACAGCAGGCTGGGGATCAAACCCTCGTCCTCTGCGCCTGCTTGCAGGTGCTTTAATTCGCTGAGCTATTTGGCCAGCCCTAGCCAACATCATTCTTATGGGGAAAAACAAAGATATTCCTCTAAAATCAGAAACAAGTTCGTTCTCACCCCTCCTATTCAATATGGTACTTCAGATATTACCTACAACAAATAGGCAAGAAAAATAAATAAAAGAGATACAAATAGGAAAGGAATAAGGTTATCTTTATTTATAAATTATATGACCCTGTACTAAAGATGAAACTAAAAGAACTCTAGATCTAATAAAAGTTTAGCAAAGTAGGAAGATACAAAATCAACGTTACAGCTTTTCTATACAATAAAAGTGATTTAGCTTCGCAAACTTTTGCACACGTAGGGGCAATGTGAGCACATATTCCTGGGCTGGATCAGGCAGAGATTTGCATTTCCAGACAGCTCCCAGGACATCTTGGTGTGGCTAGTCCACAGATTGTGCTTTTTTTTTTTTTTTTTTTGGTGGAACCGGGCATTGAACTCAGGCCCTTGCACTTGCCAGGGAAGTGCTTATTCCACTGAGCCATCTCCCCGGCCCCAGACTGTGCTTTTGAAAGCATTTCATATCACATCCTGGTGACTATAATGATGATAATAAATAGTCATGATATTTTACCTTAGAAAAGAATTTTGCAATAATTACTAGAGAAGCTCAAAACTGAAATGAAATATCACTATACATTCTTCAGAATGGTCAAAATAAAAAATACTGAATCCCAGTGAGGGCATGGAGAAAGTAAAGCATGCACACATTCCTGGAAGGTATGCCTAAGACTTTGGCAGTTTCTTATAAAACTAAAAATGGATTTACCATCTGATTTCATTTATAGGCATTTATCCCAAGAAATGAAAACTTACCTTATGCAAAAACTTGTACGTAAGTATTCATAGAAGCTTTATTAAATGTAATAGACCCAAACAGGAAATGAACAGTATGTCTTTAAATAGGTGAACAGCTAAATGAACTATGACTGCACCATGGGATACTAGCCCATGTGAAGGTATAAACTACTAGCCAAGCATGGAGGTACACACCTGCAATCCCAGTACTTAGCAGGGTGAGGCAAGAAGATTGCTTTAAGCTCAAGGCCAGCCTGGGCTGCATAGTGAGTTCAAGGCAAGGCTAGATTGAACTACACAGCAAGACCTCATCTCGAGAAAATTTATAGGAAGTGTAAACTATTGATATATGTAATAGGATGAATTTCAAAGAAATTATGCATAGTAAAAAGAAACTGAAAAGAATACATCAATACTGCATGATTCCATCTACATGACACTTGTGAAATAACATAGCTATGGTTATGAACAGAGCAGTAGTTTCTAGAAGGAGGGACAGAGGAGAGGGAGGTAATGCATATGGTCATGAAGGAACAGCAAGAGGGAATCTTGGGATGGTACAGGTAATGATCTTGACTATGGTAGTGTTTATACAAAGCTACACATGTGATTGAACTGTGTAAGACCACACATACACGCATGCACGCGTGCACACACACACACACACACACACTTGCATATAAATGATTTCATGTATAACTAGTGAATTTTAATTGAAATCTATAAACATTCTGGCTTTGATACTGTGTTACAGTTACACAAAATTTTAACTCTGGGTGAAAGGCACACAGAACCTGGCTTTATATTTCTTTTCACCTTTCTTAGTTACTTTTCTCATGGCTGAGACAAAATACTCAACATCCACAGTTAAAAGAGGAAGGTTTGATTTAGTTCAAATTTTGTAAAGGTTTCAGTTCATAATCAGCTGGCTCCAAGGCAGTGTGGCACATAGCAAAGGGGCAACCATTCATGGTGGTAGAAGATAGAAAAAGTAGCAAGGGAGAAAAACAACTCTTTCTGTCCTTTACATTGTAGGCAGTCTACCTGCCCTAGAGTGGGGGTAACATTCACACCCTTACCCATAGCCAGAACTGTGACAAACCTATCAGTGGACCGATTTACTATTCATATACCCTTAATCCAAGCATCACACACTCTAGATTCAGTTTCCCCTGAAAAGCCTGCCCCTATGACTACATGAGGCTTTGTGGGAACCTCTAGAATGCAATTATTTTAAAATAAGAATTGTTTTTTGAACAAACCTTAGTGAATGTACACTATCTCATTAGATCTTTATAGGAATCCTGATAATTGAATAGTATGATTATTGGTAATTTATAAAAAAAGGAACACTAGGCTCAGAGGACAGACTGCTAATGGAAGACCACAAAGGTAGAAAAATCAGGGTGATAACAAGACTACATACTCTTGATAAATATTGATGTCCAGTTATCAAAAAACATAGGTGTTTTAAGATAGCAAGTTTAGAAGTGAAAGTAGCAACTAAGCCCTCTATCTCCCCAGAACTTACGGTAGACATGAAGATGGTAGAACTTGGTGGTGGTGGCGGCAGTGGTAGTGATGTCCGCTCTGTATCTTCCTGCATCTTCCATCCTCAGGTTACTGATGACCAGGTTGTAGTTCTCATTTATGACTTTTAATCGATCATTATAATTATTGTGGGTCACAATAATGTGGGCTTCTCTTCCTGAGCCTCCTGGTGTAATGACAGCAACAGATGATTCAGAAGTCCAAGCAATGGTCTTAACTTGCTTTGAGTTTTGGATATTTAAGGGGAAAGTAACTGATTCCCCAAGGGTCCCATTCATCTCGGAGTCCGCAGCACTTCCAACTGCTACCACCCCTGTGGACATAAATAGAAAGTTGTGCCATGTGATCATCACCATTCAGTTTCTTTTACCCCCAGCCTGGATTCTCCCTGAGGAGAGTCCACAGAAACAATTCATCCAGCTTCTTGATGCTCTGTACCCTCCCCCCCTTTTTTTTCTTTCATTCTGTATGATAACCAAATTTTCTTAAGGATTCTCATTCAAAAAACTAAGTTTCTCAACTGAATTTCTAAGGACCCATTTCATTAAAGTACTCCCCTAGATGTACCCCTTCCAAAATCTAGAAAACATTTGGAAGGTAAAAGGCACAGACCTCCCCAAGGCCGAGATATCAAGTGTATTCCTTCTCCAAGCTCATATAACTGAGTGGAGGAAGAGCTTCACATGAGAAGCTGGACTATCCAGGCTGACAGGCTCCATGCCTGGGGAGCACCTACTCTTAAGTGGGACTAAGTATCTGGAGATACAATGGTGAGCAAATTGGATGCAATTCCTGCTGAATTTACAGGTAAAATGAAGTACCAGTGTCAATCTGGCCACTGCACAGATGAAGAGATGGATACAGAACAGGCAAATGCTTTGTGCTTTGAAAAAGAAAACAAAGCAACTTGTTCTACTCTGGGAATTCAGGGATAATTTCCTTGTGAAAGCTGAGAGACAAGGACTCAAAATGTAACAAGAAAAAATGGAAGGCTTTCTTTCTTTTCTTCTTTCAAACCTTGTGAGGATAAATTAACTGAATATGTTGTAGTAAAATGAGATGGAATAGAATTATGAGGTGTTATGTTCTCTAACTCCTTCTTCCATTATGATGTTACTCTCACTGAGTTATCTTTAGTGAGAAATGGCACTTGTAGTTAGGAAGCATGATATTCAAAGTACTTAATAACTAACACCATGTAGGCCCTGAAGTCAGAAAGGACATCAGCCATGAACAGCTCATTGGGCTGTTCTTTTCTTTCTTTCTTTTCTTTTTTTTTTTTTTTTTTTTTTTCGGAATCGGGGATTGAACTCGGATCCTTGCGTTTGCCAGTCAAGTGCTTATCCTACTGAGCCATCTCCCCAACCCCCAAAGGAACACTTTTTTTTTTTGGTGGAAGCAGGGATTGAACTCAGGCCCTTGCTCTTGCCAGGGAAGTGCTTATTCTACTGAGCTATCTCCCCAGCCTCCTCACTGGGCTGTTCTGACATGTGCTGGCTATCCATATGGCCTGCTCATGGCTTCCACATATGGGGTTCAAGCTGACTCTACAGTGGGCTTGGCGGTGAAAGGACAAGTTACTTCAAAGGGTCATGAAAAGAAAGGCCTTTTTGATGACACTGCCTCACTGACAGCAAGACGCGGCTACCTTGTCTTCAGCTCCGTGGCTACTGCAGCAGCCCCTAAATGCTGATGTAAACCCCTTTCCTCTAAGATTATGGGAGATTCTTCTTTAGGAGGAGACTACCAGGCAAGAGCTGATGATTTCCTCAGGCTAGGTATAAGACAAGACATTAAGGGGTCCCAAGGGTTGAGTGTGGGGTAGAATAAAGAGAAAGGAAAAATAAAGACACTAACCTGTATGCATTTATTAAATGCTAACTGTGCATCAGATGCTGTGTTAGGAACACCAAGATACAGGACATCACTGTAGCCCTGCAGAATTAACTGCCCAGTGCAGCTACATACATAACAAATAATACAATGATAGGCGCCAAATGGAAAGAACAATAGGAACAGACTTCCCGGGGGACAGAAAGCTAGGCTAATGCTGCCTTCAGTGAAAGCTGTCATACTTTGCCACAGTGTTGCAACATCAATCTCCTGCCCCAGATAAACTGGGTTGATGATGCCTGGCAGAAGGGCACACGGAGGCTCCAGCTGGAGTCCCTGGATGTCTTGGACAAGGGCGTGTGAGTTGGGCAACAATGGCTGAGAGAGAGCTGAGCTAAGCAGGGCCTGAGCTTGGTTTATTGCTCTGAAACATTCTTAATACTCTTGGAACAAAGGACCCCATCTTATTATTTTGTACTGGCTCCTGCAAATTTTGTAGCCAATGCTAGTTCCAGATCTTCCATGTTTTTTTTTTTTTTTTTAAATTTGTATTTATTTATTTATTTATGTGTGTGTGTGTGAGTGTCTGTGTGTGTGTGGCCAGCTCAGCCCACCAGGGGGCGGGGCTGGCTGGCATGTGGTGCTGGGGGATTGAACCGTGGTCCCTGTGCTTTAGCTAAGCTTGTTCTAAGTAGGTGCTTTAGACCACTGAGCCATCTCACCAGCCCCTTCCATGTTTTTTAAGGCTTTTTTGAAGTCAGGCCTTAACATCCAACTTGTTACCTCCTTTTTGGGTTTGGGTTGGATAGGAGAGGACAAAGAGAATGTGGGATTTGTAGTTCTGATGGGTTCTCTCAAAAGTCCAGAAGTACTGAGTTGTTTGTTAAAGCTGAGAGCTTCTTGGTCCCAGAGCAGCCATGCAGTTACACACGGGAGTGTCAGGTACCTCAGGCCGGTCTCATTTCCCACAGAGACTCACTCAGGAAGTGACACTGGGTTATCAAAACACAATCAAACAGCAGGGGTGGTATGTAGGCGATGCTGGAGAAAATTCTGCTCTTAGCAGAAAAGCAGAGGGTTTTCCAGGCATATGACACAGGAAGGACTTTCTGCCTTTAAACACTCCCAGTTGTGCTGCAAGAGGGAGCTGCATGGCCACAGTCTGCAGTGGAAATCCAGGGCAACCCAAGATATGGGTGCCAGAGGATTTCTACACGTAAGAAGGCGACCTTAATAAAGTAGCCTTTCTGCGTCTTTTTCTTCTTCCATAAAATGGAAATAATCACTGTACTCTGGGCCCTGTCTACTGAATAAGCAGCAAGGGATGTGGTTGGAGCACAAGTGCTTTGCCAACCATCAAAGCAGAATAAAATGCTAGTCATTTAGGCTGTTGATAATTATTGATTGGTACAAGCCTCTTCATGGGACACCTCTAAGACAGCCTTGGTAATGCTAGGATCATATAAGACCACCTCTAAACAGCCAGCTATGTATGTATGTATGTATGTATGTATGTATGTATGTATATATTATATATGCATGTATGTATTTATTAGCACTAGGGATTAAACCCAGGGTCTTCAACCTGAGCTTTGTCCCTAGCACAGTTTTTTTTTTTTTTTTTTTTGTATTTCAGGGAAGGGTCTATAGGGTATTCAGAGTCTCACTACTAGATTGGACTTGGAATGATCCACCGGTTTACAGCCTCCCAATAGTTGGGATTACAGGCACGTGCCACGGCCCCTAGTCTCAATTGCCATCTCAGCATGCCCTGGGGGCAGGGCCAGCACAGTAAACTGGGGGGATTGAACCCCCGCCCCTGCATCTGCTTGTAGGCACTTTAATCCACTGAGCTATTTATCTGGTCCTTCTAGCCCAGTTTGAGATTGTGAGACCAGCTCTTGCTAAGTTTCTAAGTCCAAGATCATGTTTTTTTCTCGCTCTGCCTTGCTCAGTGTTGGGATTATAGATGTGTGCCACCACATCTAGCTTAGTGTTGCTCTTAAGGGTTACTTCCAGTAAAGCCCGGAGGAATGATTTTTAAGTGCTCTTGGAGGCTTCATACTGCTCTTAAAACTCTTCTGCCTTTACAAAAAAGAATCTCGGGGCTGGTCAGATAGCTCAGTGGATTAAAGCGTCTGCTTAGGCAGATGCAGGGACCTGGTTTGATTCCAGGTGTGCCATGCCGGCCCTGACCCCGGGGTGTGCTGATACAGCAATTGAGACAGGGCTTGGTGGCGTGAGCCTGTAATCCCAGCTCTTGGGAGGCTGTAAACAGGCAGATCACTACAACTCCAATCTGTGTAGTGAGCCCATGTAGACCCTGCACTAAATCCCAAATAGATAAATAAATGAATAAATAGATAAATAACTTAATGGATACAGATGATGTGTGTTTTTTTAAATGATGGAGTATTAATCAGCCATAAAGAATGAGACATTTCTAGGTAAATGGGTGCACCTTCAGAACATACTTTTCTTTTAGAACATACTCTTAAGTGAAATACATCAACCACATGTGAAATTATTTGCATCATTTCTAGCATGAGATACTAAATGTGTAAATAAGGAGCAAAGTGTCTACAAGGTATTGTGACATTGGAAGGATTACTGGGGAGGGGGGCGGGGGGAAGGAAAGGGGGCAAAAGAGTCTGTATTCTTAAATGAAATAAATTGGACAAACATGGGGTTTTGTTTTGTTTTTTTTGTACCAGAAATTGAACTCAGGACCTCGTGCTTGCCAGGCAGGCGCTTGCGCTGCTACGCTACATCCTGAGCCAAGACATACCTGTGCAGATGTCGCACTGTTTCTCTAGTGGGAGAAAATGAAAGGATAAATAAGTACAGTAGCCCCTTGTGTTTTGCAGTTTGACTTTCACAGACTCTGTTTTGCAGGTTTTCAAAGAATATTAATCTAAATTACTTATTGTGAATTTTTCTCTATATTGTGAGATTTTGCAGTACCACATAGTATACATACATTGTTAAAATTACATAGGTTTATGAGTTTCGAAAATGGTTAAGAGCATTAAAAGTGTTTTTAAAAGTATGGGAAAGGTATATAAGTGTGGGAAGGGTTTATAAAGTCTTAATATATATATATACTAAAAGAAATATGATGTCTCTACTTCATGGATTTTCATTTATCACAAGGATGTCTGGAACGTGACCTCCATGGTAAGTGAGGGACCAAAGCACCAAAATGTATAACAGGTACTGGGAAACAGGAAGAAAACACTCAAAGAGGAAAGGGAATAAGGGGTGGGGAGGGGGAAAGGAAGGACAAGAAAAGAAAAAAGAATAGAAGAAACAAAATGGAAATAAAGTTTTTTTCAATAAGGAGGAGAACAGGGTTGAAGGGAAGAGAGGGGTTTAGGGGATAAAAGAATCAAGAAATATCATGTTCAGGTACAAATTTCCTCTAATATGATCATTATTTATATCTAAAATATGCAAATATAATTAATAATAAAAATTACC